AGGATTTTCTTTCAAGAGCCTCGTTCCAAGACCTCAAGTTTGGATATGTCGCCTATCCCCAATGGAGTCGTTAAGTTGGAATTTACATTCTGAAGAAGTTTCAACTCCTCTTTGAGATTGCTAGTAGAGACCCCTCGCTTTGACCTCTCATTTCCCAGCCGATCTGTTGACCGGGGTATCTTTATGTTAGGGATCTTCTCTTATTCCCCAGTAAAGTTTTGATACTATGTGACTATCTGCATAATCCATCCTTTGGTTGCATTTAAAGAAACCACTCTTCAACAAAATCTTCAACGGAGATCTGTCTCCCCGATGAAGTCCCGTCTCCTCAACAGAGCTTTGTTCCCCCAGCAAAGGTTTTTCACCCCACACGTCGGGTTTGTTGTCTTGGTATCATCCTCAACACGGTCGCGTGCTGTCTTTCCCAAAGATTACAGTCTTGCCCCGATCTCATTCCCACCGATCACACTCGCCATCAGATGGATGTCGCATATTGCCTGAACTTGTTTGGTTTGTATGATGCCATGTCATTTGACTTGCACTATGCATTCAAGCAAACATTCTTTTTAACCTTGGTATTATTGGAAGATAAAACATGGACTTTACTGGTACAACGCTTTTGCTTGCTGTTAATGGCTCTACTGCGAACTTGATATCTTGGACTCTTACAAAACTTGCATTCCTCCAACAATCCATCTTGAGTACCAAACTCATTGTCATAAAATAACATGCAATCACTAATTAAACTATCAATCTTTCTTACTTCTAAACCCAACTTCGATACCCACTTCTTTTCATCATAAAAACTTGTTGGCAAGTTGTCTTTTGTTGCGGTGGAGTCCAGCGTCATTTTTGAGAAATGTTCCAAACACTGATCAGGAACATTCCAATTTGACTTGGAGGCCAATAATCTGACACACATTGATAACTTTGAGTCTGACGACCCCTCGAACAACGTCGTATTCATCTCATTCAACAACTGATAAAATCTCTACGCTTCCTCATTTGAAAACTCTTCCCCGTCAAAATCTTCAGGTTGATCATATGTCACGTTCACACCAAAAGCATCCTCAACTATCTCACTAATCAAATTAAAATTTTCCTCATATTTCATAGGCGGTCGACTACTTGAAGCATGTGTGTTGCTAGTCTCTAGTACGTTACTCGACAGTTCTTCACCATTATACATCCAAACCCAATAATTTTCAATGAAACCCCTTCTATGCAAACGACGTGCTACTTCCTCTGGGTCACTAATTATTGGTCTACATTCACATTTAAGACAGTGACACCTAACTCCTCCTTCGTTTCGACAATATTCCTGAGCAAACGTCCACGTGATAAACTCATTAACCCCTTCTACAAAATAGGGTTTAAGTGCACGTCTTCCTGAATACAATCTATCATACATCCAACTACGACCATACCGATAATATTTCATACTGCACATTTATACAATTATTGTCTTTTTAATTATATTTGTATTTTAATATATCAACAAATTTTATACTATTTAAAGTATAATATACTCACATAATATGTTAACTATAAATAAACATTAACCAAATATATATATATATATATATATATATATATATATATATATATATATATATATATATATATATATATATATATATATATATGTATATATATATATTAAGCATAAAAATTTTGTTTTCATTTTAACTAAACATTTTTAATAAACATATTACATAACATATTATATATATAATAAACATATTAAATAACTATTATATATATAATAGACATATACATAACATATAATTATCACATATTCTATGATTTTAAATTTATGTTTAAAATATAATATTTCACACAAATTTTGTTTTTAAATTTTATAACAATATATAATATTATAATTTTTTTAACCAAATATTCTATCTTTGTTTTATTTTTATTTTAATTTAAAAAATATATATTTGGTTTATATATAACATATATTAGTTTAAGAGACAATTTTTTTTTTATAAAACATTAACTATTAATATATTTTGTTTTATTTTATCTCAATTATACATATATAATATATTCTATAATTTACAATACATTTATAATATATTCTGTTTTTATATATTTTACAAAACATATATATTATACAACACATAAAATATATTCTATTTAATATACTCTATTCAAAAAAATATTTTAAAAAATATTTTTTTTAAAAAAAATAATTTTTCTATTTTATAAAAATATATATATAAAAAATATATTAATTTACTGTTTTTCTATTATGAATTATTTTTCTGCTTTATTTTTCTATTTAAAAAATATATATATTATATTTCTATTTTTAAAATATACTATATATTTTATGTTTTATATAAATAAATAAATAATTTTTTCCTGTTTTATCAAATTATATATTATATATCTATTTTAAAAATATATCTAACAACAACAAAAATAAAATATAAATAAATAAATCAAAAAATATATTAAACAACATAATAACCCAACATATCTTCGTTTTTTTTTCTATTTATCAAAATATATATTATATAATATAATAACCCAATTAAAATTTCAGGAAAAAATTAAACAACTTAAATACCTCTTCTTCGATCTCCTTCAATCTTTGTCAATATTGTTCAATCTACTACCAATGAATCTCTTCAATATTGCTTAATCTTTGAATTTTTTTTTTATAACTAAATCAGAATAATTATAAAGATTAAATATAATTATTAAATTTAATTGAAATATATAAATGAATAAAAAATTATACCTGATACACAAATTTTGAATTGAAAGATTAATGAGGAGTGGAAGATGAAGAAAGAATGGCTTGGCTGGAAGAGAGAAAATATTGTGTTTCTTAAGAATCAAAACAATTGAAATGTGTTTATGGGAATGGTGAATTGCGCGTGCAAGTATATATGGACATCAGCGACGTGAATATCACGTCGCAACTTTGCCACATGATATTCACGTCGCAAGCCTCAACGGTCAATTAATAAATGAGCCAATCAGTGACGTGATTATCACGTCGTAACTCACAACGGTCAGAATAATTATTACAAACCTGCGCCCATCCTATTCAAAGTCAGAGACTGTTTCAATTAAATATTTGCGACGTGATATCCACGTCGCAACCAATTATATGAAACTTTCAACTTTTCCTGCTTCTAAGCGCCAGTTCTTTTTGATTTTTTTTTTTTAAATTTGAAACTTGCGACGCGATAAACACGCCGCAACTAATTTTTAATAAAAACAAAATTAAATCCCTACGTCATAAGGTAACAGTTATTATATTTAACATTAGAAAATGTAGTGACGTGATTATCACGTCGCAACAGACAATTTATTGCCACGTGATAATCACGTCACAAAAACACTTTACAGGAGAGAATATTTCTTGTAGTGAAGAAAATAGATTATATATATATATATATATATATATATATATATATATATATATATATATATATATATATATATATATATATATATATATATATATATATATATATATATATATATATATATATATATATATATATATATATATATATATATATATATATATATATATATATATATATATATATATATATATATATATATATATATATATATATTAGAAAATAGACTATTTAAATTTTTTAATATAAAATACTTTTAAAAAGACTTTGAAGCCAAATCAAGATTTTTAAAAGATCAGGCCAACCAATAATAAATCATAAATCAAGTTTAAATTTTAAAAACTTATCATAGGTCACATCCATACCTTCTAAGATCTGACTTAATTTGGTTTTTTCCACCCCTTCTTTTAAAGTTTTTTGTTTTATATAATATTTCTTACTTTTTTTTTATCTTGTTTTCAGACACCTCTTATACTTTACGTTATTTTGTTATAACTTTATATTCTTTTGTTATTAATATATTTATTTTGCAATTAAAACATTTTTTATTACTATACTCTTATTTATTAATTTTCTAATAATTATAATTAATAAAAACTTTTTAATAAATATTAATTTCAATATTTTGAAGAAGTTATAAACTTTACACATTTTATTTATGTGAAAGGAGGTAAAAAAGAAATAATCTGAAAATTATAAAATAAATAAAGACTTAGTCTGATTCTATTGACATTGATTTATAATTTGATTAACAAATTAAATATTAAAAATTATTCAATTAAAAATTAATATAATTTTACATTATATGTTATATAAATGACAAAATATTCAAATATTAAATAATTTAAAAGTGAAATAAATAATTTAATTTTAATTTTATTAGTTATTATAAATAAATTATTCCTCTACATTATTATTAGTAGGGGTGTTCGCGGTTCGGTTTGGATCAGTTTTAAGATAAAAAATCATTCGATCAAAAGATAAATTTACTTGCGGTTCGGTTCGGTTTTGGATGATATATTAAAAAAATCCAATCCGATCTGATCCAATTTTATGCGGTTTAATTTGAATCAGTTTTTGGATATCCAAATTACACATTATATTTTTATTAATATTATAAAACTACTAATAAATCATAAATTTGATATAATATATAACATATAGTATATTAAAAGTTAATATTACAAAATGAGAGTGGTTGATTATGATTGAAATAATAAAAATAAATAAATTATATCAAGTTAATAATTATTATTAAAAAAATTATTATCATCTAATAATAATTTCACATAGCATATCATGCTAATAAAAAGTAAATAAGTATAAAAATATATATATGCGGTTTGGTTTGGTTTGGATCGGTTTTGAAAAATTAATCCGAAATCCGATTCGAACTGATCGGTTTTCACAAAATAACATCCAAACACATTCAATAAATTTCGATTTTTTACGGTTTTCGGTTTTTTGAATCGATTTTCGGTTTTGTATTTGGATTGGTTTGGATTTAAAGACCCTTAATTATTAGAGTATTTATGTATAGTTTCAGAAAACTCATCTATAAATTCAATTTCTTTTCTTCAAAGAAATCAAAACTCATTCATTGATTCCATCATGGTTGATGAGGTGAAGATCATAGAACAATGCCAAGTGAGTCCTCCACAAGGTTCACTTCCATCTTCAATCAATCTTCCATTAAGTCACCTTGATCTTGGTTGGTTTTACTGCCCCCTCAAACAAATTTACTGTTACAACTTTCCTCATTCCACACAACACTTCCTTCAAACTTCACTCCCAATTCTTAAAAGCTCTCTTTCCCTCACTCTTCAACATTTCTTCCCTTATTGTTCCAAATCCATTTTACCTCCTAAGCCTCATACCCCTCACATACTCTACACTCAAGGTGACTCCATCTCATTAACAATATGTGAATCCAACTCAAACTTCAACAACCTCATATCTAATTCACCAAAACATCTTACAATTGCAGACCCTTTTCTTCCCTTGACTCCTCCACCAACTATTTTACAAGATGGCACATTGGTTTTTCCAGTCATGGCCATTCAAATCACTATTTTTCCAAACTTTGGATTCACTATTTGTCTCAATACTAGACATGAAGTTGGTGATGGTAAATCATTTCATCATTTCCTTAGTTTTTGGTCCTCACTTTCAAAAGGAAACTTACAAATTTCCTTTCTTCCATTACCATTTCACAAAAGAGAAATAATTCAAGACCCAAAAGGTCTTAAACAAATTTGCTTAGAAAAACTTTGGAATCCTCCACCTAAAACAACACAATCTAATAACTCCACCAATCATCTTATTTCTTCAAGAAACAATTTGGTTCGTTATGGATTAAATTTAACACGTCACCACCTTGATAATTTGAAGAAATGGATGGATATAAAAGGCCAAACTATTGGTCTTGACATGTTGCATTTGTCAACCTTTGTTGCTACATGTTCTTTGTTATGGGTTTGTATGGTGAAACTTAAATCACAAGAGAAAAAAAACATCACTGATGATTCTATTGAAGACGAGGTAAACACTTTTATATTTTTATGATATCTTTATAAGTTGAGTTTAAAAATTCTAAAGTAGAGTATACTTTGTAGAACTACATATATAATTTAATATTTTTTTATAAAATTTTAAAATATAATATGATACACTAACTTGTAATAATATGTTTTTTTTTTTTATTTTAAAAAAATTAATACTTATTAAAGTATAGATGTAGTTTTTTCTTCTCTAAAATCCTCCATAATTTTACTCACAACTTTTAAAATTTTGAATTAATTTCATCTTACTTAATTATGGATCTTACTTCATATTTTTGATAGGTAACAAATAATTGTCCTCCCGAGAATGATATGGAGGATAACTATGGTTTTGGATTTCTAATGGATATGCGTGGCCGTTTTGAACTTTCAATTCCTTCCACATATTTTGGAAATTGTTTGATGCTATGTGATGCAACACTACCAAAGAGAAAGTTAGTGGGAGAGAATGGTATATGTGAAGCAGCAAATGTTATTGGAAGAGAAATTAGTTTGAGTGACCCTTTAAACGAAGTAAATAAGATTGAGATAAAGCCAGAGAATTTGATTCGTGTTGTGGATTTATCCAAGTTTTATGTGCATGAAAATGACTTTGGATGGGGGAATCCTGTTTTAAGGGATGTGCTCAATATGAATAATTCAAGTGATTTTCTTATTATGGATTCTAAGGATGGAGATGGAGGCATTGATGTTGGGATGATACTAGAAAAAACTCAAGTGAAGAAATTTAATAGCATCTTTGAACTACAACTTAAGGATGTTGGGGTTCTCGAATGAAATTATTTTATGGCTAGTAGTTCTTGTTCTTTTTTTTGAAGGTTGTTTTTGTCTTATTATCATTTAAAATTCAGTCTCTGTTAAGATCTTCAATTTGGTTAATCTGTATTTTACTTTTTATTGTATTAAATAAAATTTGTTTGTTTTATTATTTATTGATTTGTGTTATGTTATTAGGCTTATAAGAGACCCTTTGTTTTAATAGAAATACAAGAGAGAGTTAGAGAAGCATGAAAGAGAAGAGAATATGTCAAACTTTTTTGATTGCTTTGAAGAGAAATTACAAAGACTTGAAAGAATAAAAATGGGTGTCATAAATTTTTTTCTTTTCTTCTCTAAAATGTAAAGAAAGGTTAAGAGAAAATTTATTTCTTTTCCATATATATATATATATATATATATATATATATATATATATATATATATATATATATATATATATATATATATATATATATATATATATATATATATATATATATATATATATATATATATATATATATATATATATATATATATATATATATATATATATATATATATATATATATATATATATATATATATATATATATATATATATATATATATATATATATATATATATATATATATATATATATATATATACCTTTTAAATTATTTCACAATAAAATCATCCGAAAAAGATTTCGTCTAAAAAGTTTTGTTTCATTTGTTGACTCTCATTTCAAGCTTGTTTCTTTAGAGGCTATGACGAATTACATGGATAAAAAATAAAGGTAATTTTTTTGAAATGGTAAAAATATTAGAATCATACAATAATAAATTAGCAAAAGTAGTACTAGAGAATGTTCTATATAATTTAAAGTATACCTCTCATTCTTTTCAAAAGGAAATTATGTATATCATGTCTATTAAAGTGAAAAGTTATATCAGAAAAGAGATTTGGGATTTTAAAATTTTCATAATTATTAATGAATCGCGTGATGAATCTTTGAGGGAACAAATGGCTATTATCTTGAGGTTTGTGGATAAAAAATAGTTGTATTCAAGAATAATTTTTTGAGCTTGTGGGCACGGTTATGATGGTGCTAATAATATAAGAGGGCAGTGGAACGGATTGTATATATTATTTCTCAAGGATTGTCCTAATGATTATTACATACATTCTTTTTCACATAGATTACAACTTGCTTCAGTTGTTGCTTTAAGGGTGCGTTTGATTCGTAAAATAAAAAATACTGGACATAACAGTACTAGACAACTCAAAACAGTATAATATTGTATTTGATGGTTAATGTATTGGACAAATTTTTTCTTGATTTTGCTTGATATGTCAATGTACCGGACAAAATAATATAATTTTTACTATAAAATTACTTATTTATATATAAAATATTAATATTTATGAATCAAAATATTAAATAAGAAGAAGGGGGAAAAAGATGAAGAGATGTATTTTTCTATTTTACTTTGTTTACTATGTTTATGTAGCAAACAAAATAATATAATTTTTACTATAATATGTTTTATTGATATATAAAATATTGATATTTATGAATAAAAATATTAAATAATGATAAGAGAAGAAAAACGATAAATAGAGACTTTTTTTCCTTGTTCATGATTTCTTTTCACACTTGACTCTTATTGTCAATGTTGTTTATTCATTTAGTAAGAAACATGAAGAATAGTAAAATGTCATATTAGAGGAGATATCACATTCGCTAAATATTGGTGAGCTTGATAGTGTGAATGAAAAAAATCAGATAGGCACTTTGAAACGAGTTGGAGATATACGTTGGAGCTCACCTTTTTCTTTTATTTTTAGTATGATATATTCACAATCCAACTTGTGTGGTTCTTGTAGATATTATAAAACATGGAAGAAGTTGTGCTACACGTGGAAATACTAATGTTGCTTATAAGATTATGAAATAATTTGAGTTCTCATTAATTTTACACATGATGAGCAAGTTTATGCAAATTATAGATCGTTTGTGTCAAGATTTACACTATAAATCTCAATATATACTTAATGTTATGCAGTTAATCACCACTACCAGGACAATAATTAAAATTTTAAGAGATGATGGATGGGATGATTTATTGAAAGACGTAATATGATTTTGTGAAAAATGATATTGATTCTCTTGATTGTTATGCAGCTTATATAGAGAGTGAAGGTCGTTTTTATCATCAAATGGATCACATCATTGTGGGTCAAAATTTTAGAGCGATTCTCTTTTGTGTTATAGTTGATCAACAATGATAGGAATTTAATCATCATTATGTGAGAAAACAATTGAGCTTTCGAGTCTAAGAAACAATTTGATTCTTAAGAATATTTACAAAAAATTTAATATGAATAATATATGTGCTCTTGTAAATACATTTATACAAATAATATAGTGAGAATGAAAAAAATTAGTTTGAGATATCAACTTAACACTCTCATCTTGATGTTGTTGGTCACCAGATTCAAATAACTTGTTAACTATGTTTAAATTGTGAGGAGCGCTAAAAAGACAAGGAAGATAAATACATATTATTTGATTGATCGACTAAACTACCTTAACTTAACTCTTACAACTTTAACAGTTACTACATAACAATTATAGATCTATGTGCTTGCAGGTTATGAAGATAAAAATTCCGCATCAAAAGTTTTGATGACAACAACGCATGTCATAGATTTCAACATTGATGATGATAATATAACTAAATAAAGAATTTTATGACTCATCAAAAGAAATTTAAGATCAAGTAGTGCATGTACAATCATAAACTATCTAATAAAAGTTTTAAAGTTTGGAGAAAGGTGTGAAAGTTCGACATGTCATGTTTGTATGTCTATTTGAGTGTTCCAGATATTGTAAAAGTAAGTAAGTAGCTTTAGAGTACTCAGAAAACTCACACATTCACCTCAAAATATTTTCTCAAATGTGTTTAAATAAAAAATCATTTACTAAGCCAAGACAACTGACTAAATATTTGTCTAAAACTTTTTAAACTATTATTTAAACTAATTAATCGTTTAGTAAGTTGTGTCAATCAATTGGCAAACATTTTCAGAGTCATCCAATCCATTAGAGAATCAAGCTTTTCGTTTAAAAGAGTGTTAAACAATTATCCATATGATAAGGACAACATATTAATGACTTCCAACGACTTTATATCTAAAATTTCCTAATTTAGCTTTCTAATCGATTAAAAATGAGTTGTCTAATTGATTAGAGCTTTATTCCAATCAATTAGATAATTAATTAGGCCCATGGACTATTTCCATTTCTGGCTTTTTCAACTACTATATAAGGGAGACACGCCATCACTTCAAATCATATCACTTTCTAATATTTTCATATTTCTTTGGAATTTATCTCTCTATTTTCCATCTCTATATCTCTAGAAAATATTTTCTTTTACTTCATATTTTCTTAGTACTAGTAAGTGAATCTTTGCTTTTGAGGAAGGAATTTTTGCAAGTGTTCGTGATGTTTGTAACACCCTAAATATTCCCAAGTCATAATTAAATTACGAAAATAATTTAAACTAAATTGGGGCGTTACAACTCTCCCCCACTCTCGCATCCTACTCTCCAATTCCCAAGTCATGTTCCCTCCAGCAGCTCCTCCACAAACTACATTCACGAGAGCAATCTCCTTGCTTCTTAACTGTTTCAATTCACGATCATCAATCCTTACAAGTAAAGCCTCCATTGTAAGGTTATTCCTCACGTACATATCATTCATCAGAATCACACGCGACTAATTTGGAGCATACCTCCGAAGCTGTGAAACATGGAGTACATCATATAAATTAGAAAATTTTTGCGGCAATGCCACTCTATAAGCAACAACTCCAATCTTCTTTAATGTCTGATACAGACCAATAAATCGAGGAGTAAGCTTCCCCGACTTCAAAGCACGTCCAACACCGGTCACTGAAGTGACTCTCAAGACTACGTGATCTTTCTCTTGAAACTCAAGATCCTTACTTCTCTTATCATGGTAACTCTTCTGTCTACTCTACGAAGCTTTCATCTTCTCTCAAATTAACTTCACTCTCTCAGTAGTCTGTTGGATAATCTCAGGCCCAAGCACCACACTCTCCCCAAATTCATGTTAACACAAATGTGTCCTATACCTCCGACCATACAATGCCTTAAAAGGTGTCATTCTAATACTAGAGTGAATGTTTTTATTATAAGTAAATTGTATCAGTGGAAAATGACTATCCCATGCACCTCCTTGCTCAAGAACACAAGCTCTTAGTAAACCCTCCAATGACTAAATAGTTCTCTCTGTCTGACCATTTGTCTATGGATGGTAAGCAGAACTCAACCTTAGTGTTGTACCCCAAAATTTTCCCTCCCTTTTCTTCAAGACATTCCTCACAAAAATTCTCAAATGCTCAAGGATTCTCAAGAGTTGATCAGACAAGCTCACCTCCTAAGCATTGGCCCCCCCAACTAGGGTTTTGGTTTTCTCAAGGAAAATAGGACTTCTAATGACTTAAGTGACTTTAATGGTTTATCATAAGTCTCCAAGAATTCTCATACCAAATTTCAAGCCTTGTATTACAAACTTGCTCAGTCAATTGCTCAAATGACTGAAAATCAGCTGTATTAGACAAAAGTCAACTGTGGTTAATATATAGTCAAACTTCAAGATTTTTTTTAAACATCAACATTTTGATGTGATATTCATCATTTTATCAATGTTTGATCATAATTCCTCAAGGAAAGCACTCAAACCATCAAAGGGGCAAAATTGTCAAAATTAGGGTTTTGACTAAGAATGACTGATCATTGACTTTTGAACTAGTACATGATCTAATGACTTGAAGCATGATCTTAAGGACTCAAACACAACATCTTGACCTAATTACATGGTTCAATACATTTCCAAAGGTGCATGAGATTTATAGTTGAAGAATTGAGATCAATTGATGAAAAGTCAACTGTCACACAAAACTCAAACTTTAATTTTTTGGTCAATTTTGAGCTTCAAAGG